ATTGGTTGTGAGAGGTTCTGTTCATTTTTCCTTAGCCATTTTGTAATGTGTATCGATGGACAACTTCGACTCAACTCTGCTCTGGCCAGGTTAGAGAAATATGTAAATACTTTTGGACAATTTGGCTCCTCCTCCGACTATATTTTTATTTTTGTGTAATAAATCACTGAAACTATAAATCGTCAGTCTTTGGTCTCTTTCCTTTTTCTGACTTATGTTATGTTATGAGGCTGCTACAATATATATTTAGTTTCACACATATTTTGTGAAAATCACAACACAGATTTTTTACATGATGTTAAGTGATTCCTTGTTTTACATATTTTGGAAATCACATTTCTGTTGTGTCCTCACTCTGTTTGAATCCAAAATCGCATCTCACTCAAGGACTCCAAAGAGCTTGCTGACCTCAGCTTCAGGGAAACATTTTATATGATCAGACAAAGCATTTCACAGCACAATGTGCCATCACTTGGTTGCCACACAAAGGCCTTTCTGCGGCAGCACATCATAGGAAGATGGCAGACACCTGCATGCTGAGCAGTAAGGCTTTTATACACATAAAAGGTTCAGCACTAGACCATACTAACTTGTGACCTGTAGTCAGTGCACAATTTCTGTTCACACATGAATCTGTTTACATAAATGAAGTAGCCATGACATACCTGCATGAAATGGCTGATACCCTCTCGGTCTGACAAAATCTCTGCCAGGTTCTTGGTACCAAGTACATTACGCAATGTGGTCTGAGCCAAGAGGCGGGTGGATGCATTGGCATTCTCAACATTAGCAATGGATATGGTTGCATTCTGTACGCGGTAGTAGACCACTGCATCCACTGATACAGTCACACTATCTCGAGTCAATACCTGTAGAAAAATAAAACAACAATTGTTCAGTTATTCTTTTTGAAAGCTGTGTTTATGTAAAGTGGACAGTATTCAGGCTTTGCATCTTTAATTACATGTATTACAGATTGTTGTATCACATGCCAGCCTGTGATAAAGTCTCATTTGAGTAACAAACCCAGTACATACAGCTAAATGTAAATGTGACATTTTATCTACAATAACTGGCTGAAATGGGGTCACCAAATTTTTTATTGTTAAATGAGAATTTGCAGAAAAGGGTAAAAAATACTTCTGTTGATGGTTAAATGATAAACAGCACTCTTTTGTAATACAGACACATGCATAATGTATATGGACAGTGTGAACTAAACTATTGGAAGTACATGTACATGTATTTTCAAGATGTATTTTAGCGTTCGGGAGATGTTAATTTATATAACGGGTTTTGCCCTTATACCCAATGTATATATTGATAAACACTGTTGCTCAGTGCTTATCCGAGAGCTTGCATTTTTCCCCAACGCAAAAATATATCTTGAAAACACTTCACACTACCCGTTGCTTCACCTGACTTGGATCAGCCAGCCAACCCTGGCAAGCTCGGTGGTCAAGAGGTTGAGACGTCTGCACTAGTAAGCAGGAGGTCGTGGGTTTGAGTTCCATTTGAGTAAGCTTGGGAGTTTTTTCGCAAGCTCTCGGATAAGCACTGAGCCTACAGCTATTTAATTAATCATTCACCTCCTGCATGCTCCCGTTTAAAAGGTGAGGTCTGCTATTTTCACATATTTAGAACATCTTTCAGTTACAGATGAGATTCTTGGAATTGCTCAAACTGCAGATAATGCTTTGTTCAAAAATGAGATGTTATGTGAATTGTTTTGAAGACTGCAAACATAGCAACTAGATCTGACACAAAGTGCTGATGGTGGACCCCTACAGTGAGCCACATTAGCTATTTTCCTATACCAGGACACACTCAGTTGGGTTCTAGTAATTATAACCTCAGGTAACACCCTGATGAGTGAAATACTCATAATTCATTCCTGACAATCATCTTGGCTCCCTAGGGTGTACATGGGACCTAAGCTGCTGCAATATTAAGGGTGCTGCAAATTAATCAAACCTCACTGTACAGTCAACTCACCTGCATTGATCTCACCAGAGTGGAAATATAATGCTAGGCATACATGTACCTGTGCAGTGAGAATGTATGGTGCTTTTTGTTGATGATGATCAAGACATGAAGTCAAATTTAGTAATATAATGTAATTGATAAAACAATAAACCAATGTTTTGCTTTGTTTCATTCAAAAACCTCCTGATTTGCAACATGTTCAGTACAATTCATGAACAGCAAGAAATTTGAGAAGCTGATGTTTGTCTGTTACAAGCAACATAATCTCGCATAAAAGGTTATATTTCTTGATTGGGAAATAATATTAAAAATGATAGTGAGACAGTTGTTGTAACACAAAGTTTGAATGAATCATCATCTCATCATCAAAAGTGGATTGTTAACCATGCAACTGAACTGTATGTGCCATTTTATAACATGTTTGTACACATGGGCATAGCCAGGATTTGTTTTCCTGAGGAGAATATTTCAATGGGGCAAAGCAAAAAAAAAAAAAAAGAAAGATGGTGGGATGAAGTCAATTTTGAGGTTTTTAAAAAGCAATTGGTGACTTTCATCCTCTTATGTTTTTTTCCCTAAATATTTTTTTTCTCTCTTTATCCTTTTAAAAAGATTTTGGTGGGGGGCCCCCTCTCGATGCCCATGGCTGCACAAAAAAAGTTTTATTCAACAGTTTTAAACACTTAAAACAGTTCAGTGAATCTTATTGGTGAAAAGTCCATTATGTGGCTGGTCTTAAACATTGGCTGGTGCTGTGCATCACCTCATGGAGTATGCACCATGTGTGCACCAATCTCCACATAAGAAAAAGTACTCATGAATAAACGTACCATAATGTGGTTAGCGGTGAATTTGAAAAAAAGAAGTGAACTGTTGGAAAACATTGTGCGAAATTTAATTTTCAAACTTGTTTTGACTTCATGACTTCAAGGTATTTATAAATGGGAATGATACATGTGTACTTAATATCAAAGTGGATGGGACATTACCAGCATCGGTGCATTCTCCACAGCCCCTGATCAAGCCAATTGTTAAACATGCACAAGTAACACAGGGAATATTTCAACAAAACTGAACTACAATTGTCTATAAATTTTGTTCAAATTTGGACAGAACAAAAAAGTCTGAATACTGCACTTGATAACATATTTGTATCCTTCTTTTCAACGACAATATTTAAATTTAACTTCAGTGTTTTCATATCACAAAAATAGATAATAATGTGTTCCTTACGGCAATCCACTTTAGATCTTACATTAAAAACAGCAATGGCACAGATTTGTCCACAGCACATTGCACCATAAAGAGTGTTCGATTTCCTCAAAATATTTACATGTACATAGCAAAAACTGCTATGCAATATTTTGTTTGCATAGCAATTGCCTAATTTTGTGTAGCAATTTTTGCCCCAAACTTTTTCAAACTGAGGTAAATTTCAACTGACATACAGAGTGTCTTGTCTGTCTAGTGTTTGTCTTTTGTGTGTGGTTATTAATTAATAGTTCCAACTAAAAAATTGCTTCAAAGGCCCACAATCATAAGCTTTGCTTTTTAGTGGGTACCTCCACGGCTCTCCCCCATATTTATATAGCATTTGAAAGTTGAGATTGCATGTATGTAAAACTGTGGAAATTAACGAATAATGAACAAAAATGAACAATAAAACTGCATGAACTCATGAATATCCATTTAAAAGAAACAATAAAACAAACAAAATCTTCAACAATGGTCTTTCAAATCATTTTCAGAGCAAGTGGGATCTCAGTCAAGGGCCGGAAAATTTGTAAAGTGAGTAAAGCAGGCGTAAAGTACATGTACTGTACCTGAAACATGGTGTAAAATACCTGCACATGGGATGTGCCTAAAAACAGCTACACATAATAAACATCAACGTCTAAACACACCTGAGTATCCTGCCTCTTTTTCTGATGAACTACATGTAAATTGCACCATTGAAAGAATCTGGCCTTTAATTTGTTTACAAAAGTGTGAACACTTGTGTTGGCTTTCTTGTGTGGCTGCCGATGGCCTACATGCGGAAGGATGTGTTGATGTACCCGAATGTGGTGCACTGTGATTCTTCACCTATAGTGCTTTGCCAGAATATTTTTACCTCAAATTCATTATAAGTGAAATCGGAAACTCCCAATATTCTGATTCAAAAATGTTGATTTTACAAAAATCCTGACTCTCTCTACAAACCTCTGATGAAATTTTTATTTTGGCTTGATTTTTAAATTAAAGTCCAAAATGAATTCTGACAAACCTGTGGTTACGTAAGTGAAGCTCAAAATAATTTAGCAGAATTTATCAACTTCAAAGAATTTCTCTAATGTTTATTCGGGTTTGGTGGAATTTTTTCAAGTGCACCACTCTGGCATGGTCAGAGAACACTCAGCAGAATTCTTGCCCAATTTCCAGACACGGCCATTTTTGAATTTATTATTTATTATTATTATTTATTTATTTTGTTCTTCAGTTCTACGTTCCCAGACAAGTTCTGTCTAAAACGTGAAATGCAAGCTCATTCTTGTACAAAACCTGTTCTTGGAAAATTTCTAGGAAAGAAATTTCAAGTTGGCCAAATTTCCACTTCACAAAATCGACAAATATTTACAGGGGGATATGTCAATTAATACGTGTGATCCCAAATACTTTTTTCATACTCAACAGTCAAATAAACTTTTGCATTCAATGTTTGTTTGATCAAAATGACTTTTAAAGTTTCCTTTTTATTAAAACCGGCCGAAATCTCAGAATGCTTCTTGCCCTAGTTTTGGATTGCGCATTAAATGCATGCAATATACATGTATATCATGTGAACTCCAACTAACGATACCGATGTAGCAGAAATGTAAGTGACGTAATGGGTTTGTTAACTGTGCGGCACGGGGAACTATCGTTGATAGCTTGCTGTACAACTGAAAAAGTCAAGTCAAGCTTTACCTGTGATCCACTTTTTGGTTCATTGGAATTCTTAATTATGAAATAATTTTCTTTACGCTAAGAAAATGTTTATTAGAAAAACAGCTTTTGACAATGGTTCTGGCTGAAAAATTGACTTTTAGCATGGTTAGTTTATATTTGTGAAAAGATTTGGTTGCAATCCGGAACTGGGTAAACCAATTCAGAACTATAGGAAAAGCGTCGTCGTCACTTTCGTCGATCCTGTAGGTCCAAATTAAAAGCTTAGAATTTGAAAACACTTTTGTAGTATCTCCAACTAATATTATACTGACCACATTTCACAGGAATTTGAGGATGTTTTGTAGCTGCAATCTGACTGAATGATTTTCACGATCCAGAACTAGGAAAATGACTGTATTACATGTATGTGTACAGGCCCGTAGGCTGAAGGGGGGGGGTTTGGGGGGTTCCCCCCTCTCGCTTCTGAGTTCCGCTCGTTGGTGGGGTTTTTTTTGGTAATAAATATATAATTTTAATATACCATAATTTTCAGAATGTAAGCTGCGGTTTATACATTGGTTCTCACACGAAAATATCTCTGAGGTTTATAATGAACTGCAGGCGGTTTATATGGCAATACTTAAGGAATGAAATCAGTCACTAAACGTTGCTCCAGGCCTCAGCGCAGCCTAATCCGAGCTGCTGCTGCAGCCGGCCAGCCACGCATACCAGTGGCTCGGTGCAGCGTTCCAGGCACGGGACAAGGCAGTCATGTTTTCATTTGTTGCCGTTTACATTGGCTCTATTCACGTGTTTGAAATGAAGGAAACCAGTCCAGAAAGACTGAATAGACTTGTAAATGCCCTGTAAGTACCGTTCGCACCTCACATATTGTGTGGTACGTCTGTTCGCTTTTGTCTTTTACGTTGTGTAATCCGTTTTATCATTTTTACTGGTCTTAAAAAGAACAACTGCATGGCCCACCCAGCGAGGACTCTAGGACACTAATCTAGCCCACAAAAATGGGTAATTTCGAGGACTCGAGAAAATTCAGGTCTAATGAAAACACTCCTTAGCGTGCTGCTTCACATTACAATTGAAGAATGCGCATTGGAAAGTTGCACGAACCCTATGGGCACTTCAAATTTTTGCTTCTAACGTTTGTGTATAGAGCAATATTTTATCTCCAATTTCACAAAAGGTGAAATTTAATCAAACTCCAAATATTTTGATTCATAAATGTCGATTTCATATACCCACTACAAAGTTCCAATGACATATAAATTTCGTCCGATTTTCCAATTTTTTTCTCCGAAGTTTTAAAGCCATTTTTAGTTAGGTGAGTGGAGGTTATAATGATTCACTAGAATGTATCACTTTTTTAGAACTTCTGAAATTTTTTGTTGGATTTTCTGAGATTTTTAAAAAAATAATGCCTTGCCTTCCCTTGCCGTCACCCATTAATTAATTTTACATCTGCACCACTTGCAACTTCCATTTGACATGTTCAGAAGTTAAAACAACGCAATGTCCAACTCAGACATGAAATGATCACTCTGTAATTTTCTGAGATTTCATTAATATATTTACCTCTTGGGGTGGCACATCAAAAGAGACAGTCCGGAGGTCCACCTTAGTGTAACTCTCAATGCAAGGGAGTATGAAGAAGATACCTGTAAAACAAGACAGATAAATGAAGAGCATGATGAGTGGCCTCGCATGCTACACAGAACAAAAGCTAAAGTCTATCCCTGCTGGCTTCACTTAGAAACAAACTTTAGAAGTAAAGCCTTCATGCTAGTTCCTAGGTCTGAGAGGACAACAAATTGGTTTGCTATTTTTTTTCTTCAAAAATACTGAGTACATTGAAAATGGGCTTTAATTAGCACAAAAGAGTTATCACTTAAAAAAATTGCTAAGAGTGGGTAGAGGCAATTCGTAACTTATAAACAGAGAAATATTTTAATCCCAAATGAAACGTCATGTTTATAAACTCAGATTCTACTTGGGTTGTCACTTTGTACATGTGTATTATCCGATACTGAAAACAATGAAACTCTTTGAATCTTTTCCAATATCTGACAACCACAAGGGAAATGTCAATGTCATTGTCAAAACATGTCAAATGCAAAACAACGTACACTGTATATGTGCAAGTAGTGTTTTACATCTACAAAACAACTGCATTCCTCAAATTCATGAGTTATGTTTAGCAGAGAGGTGTTTGGATGGGTGCCATGCAGTATTTCAAGCATGAACAAACATGCATGAACTAAACAGGTATAAAAAGGAAAAGATTTGGTAAATATTGCTAAGTGTTTTTTGATGATGTTCAGTACAGTTTTGAAGACGACTGTTCAGAAACTGGATATTTGCAAAATCTAAAAACCTTATAAACTTTGAACACCAATGAAATTGACTTTTGCTGAGCATTCAAGTCATGGCACACAATGTTCGGTGTATGGTTTTGCAAACATGTACTTTCTAGGCACGTGTTTGTTTTGCTTTCGGGGGGAATTTTAAAAATTTTCTTGGGGTTTTTATTGTGTGTGTGTCATTCTGATCACTACAGTAATTACTAAAAAAATCCATGACGACAATGCACAACAGAAATATTAGTTGTATTATGAGATACTGTTAATATGCAATTTGAAATGTTTGTCATTCCTGGATTTATTCCCCTCCTCTCCCAATCATCAGTTGCCACTCCTGTAAAGCATGTTTTAGTTGTGCTTAAAGGTGATCAATCTTGAGGTGAACAATACACCGCTATAGGGCACTGTACTGTTGCAGTCTGACAATCAAGCTCTTTGGGTCTTAAGTGTTCCCATGCAATTGGCCTTGCAAACATGAAGTAGCATGCCAACAACATTACATTCAAAAATCAATTACAAAGTGTTATATTTAAAATATGTTAAACCATATTTAAAACTAACAAACCTGGACCCTTTGCACCTCCTGGGAGAAGACGACCAAGACGAAAGATGACAGCTCGCTCATATTCCTGAACCACCTAATGAAGAAATGGTCATAAAAGATCAATAAAACATTTCACATCTGAACTCGTATTCTACTTTAGTCTTGAGTCCAAGACACCTTTCGCAGTGCTGTGATCTGATATGAGTGCAGTGTACACGGTATATAATTCATGTGATTCACTGTAACAGCGCCCTCTTTTGATGCATACCAGCTGCTACAGGCTTCCCATTATAGCGATTCGTCTGGTGATTCATGTCTTGGATTAACTACAGGAATGTCTTGGAACCAAAACTAATTCAACTTTGACTTTGACGCAGTCAAGTAAGAGTTAAAGAGCAGGGTACATCAAAAAGTCTGTTTATCATGTTTACGAAACTGAACAGAAACTCATAAATTTAATGACCAATGAATACATGACAAGGTATTAAAACAAAATCTAAGACAAAATTTATGCAATGTCTAAACCCACAATCACATTTCTTAAAACACTGACTTAGACCATGGAGGAATATGGTTAGACTATTAAAAAGGCAAGTACAGTGTATGCTGGAGGTGTGTTTCAAGCACTGCCACTCAGTAACTTACAGCAGGATCCACTAGTTTCAAATATACCTTCAGGGCAAGGGAGTTTATTCACTCTGAAAGCTTTTTATCAACCTATTAATACTACACACTAAAATCTGAAGGGTTGCATCCAACATTAACAAGAGTACGATCAGTTACCACTTTTTGAAAGTGTTACATCCTACATTTTGAATATTAAACCTAGCATTTTGAATACATGTATCATATCCAACAGTTAAAGAATTAATTCAACAAATTTAAGTGTTAATTCAACATTTTCACTTGATACTGTTTTATATCATCATTTAAAATGTTGAATCAACCGCTTAAATGCTGAATGTAAGATTGAAAATGTTGGATGAACACTGTCATTGAGTGGTCACAGACCGCACTCTTGTAAGTGTTGAATTCAACACTTTTGTGTGTACCAAACAGGTCAGAGTTTTCAGTGCATGCACTTTCACTTTGAATCCTAGGTTTTTTACATGGCATTATAGTGCTTTCTAAATTTTTAAATAATTAACTACTCACACGTAGGCCACAGTCACTTATTTGTTTTTGAATGCATAATTAACATTTGCAAGAGAACTTCTGACTTGATAACACAACTGTAACATTTAATCTAATGTTATCTTTGACTAGTGAGACAGCAGATGATCTGCATACTTTGTCTGCTTTGGTTTGGGCTAAAAGCAATAAAACAGCAAAGCCTTTGCATTTGTAAATTAAAATGTTAAAATTCACAAGCACTGTGTAAACAAAGTCCAACCCTAAAGTCAAATTTTTATAATGCATATGAACACCATGCATGTCTTCTTAACATAGAGTTTACAATTAAAAATTGAAATTGAATGGCTATTTTTCCAAATACAGTACTAATTTTCATGTAAGGTAAACAAACAAGCAAGGAATCTATCTTGAAATTTGAACCCCAAAGGGAAATAGTGCTACAGTGCATATCATCTATTTTGTACATTTCTGACAAAATTTTGTGTGTGGATTGTTCAAGTTTTGGTTTCAGATGTGTTTAGTTGTTCTATGAAAGGAAGACTTTAGTTTCACAAAGTACTTTTCAATTGTGCAAAAATAAACAATGTAACTGATTTAGTGATTTATTAGTTAAGTAACCAAGTAATATACTTGGAAAATTTGGACTCATGATTGCCATAAATTATCGGGACATCGGTTGGAAGTTGATGTAAATTACCTTCCATGGGAATCATAGTGAGATCCTACTAGCTCATGATATGAATACCTCTATGTAGCTAATAAAAACTCTGGTGTGTAGCCAAGATGCCACCCCAAAGTCAATTACAATGACATTTGATCATTAACAGAATGAGGCTAGAGAGGAAGGCAAAACTGGGGGCCAGTCAAGTTATTGCATGCATCTCATGCAGAAATAAGAGGGGACAGAATTTCTTCTGGAATTAGTTTGGCTTCACACACAAAGATTTTTATATTTACATAATAGTAACACCAGCAACAAGATAAGCAACACATTCACATGGCTGCATCCATGTCCTTGGCAATAAAATTTACACCGTTTGCCTAGCTTTAGAGATAAAAAATTAAAAATCTTAAAATTAATTGCCCAAATTTTCTGTTTGATAAATTTTCCGATTTAATTTTATATATAAAATGACTGGCCAATATTCTCATCTACAGGGTGGCATTGCATCAGGGAAAGGAGTTTGGGGGTTTATGTTTCAATACTTTGTAAGAAGTACATTATTTCACTTCAAGTACCCTAGTCACATACTTTAGGTGCATTTTTTTCATGAATGCCCTCCACTGTGTCAGAAATCAGCATGGATACTTAGTGCCCTTTTCAATATTTACACCTCACAGAAACGGCGGGTCCACAGCCAAGTTTTTAGGGGGGGATTTATAAATTGTTTGTTACTTGCATGGACTTTCTGAGGGTTGAGGTTACACTTTGAAGCTTTTTACACACTTTTGGAAGGAAAGGAAAAGAAACAGACCACGCAAATGCATTTCTTTGTTTTTGGGGAGGGGGTGGGAGGAAGTTGTTTGTACTTTGGGGGGGGGAGCATGGCCCAGTTGCACCTCCACTCTGCTCATCTCCCACATAGAAATATTCTTGCAATGCTATGGCCACATCAGCAACATTCTCAAAAATATCTGAAACTCTTTGTAACATAAATTTATAATTAACAATGATAAATGCCATAAGGAATTGATATCAGAAAATATCTTAACAAAATTTCCAAACTGCCATTTCTGAAACAGATGCGTAACTGCCATACATGCAGTGGCGTAGTGAAGGGATTTTCTTTGGGGTGTGTGCAAGAGTCAATTTGCCAACTTGTAACTTCTAATCTCGTGCTGTGTAAATTGACAAACATGACAAAGTGATCCATGGTATGGAACATTTCATGCTTCAGGTGAGATACTGATGACCAACGTTTATCAGTCACATACTAATTTTAGATTCATTTGGCGACAGCTCTATTTCCCGACTGGAGTTAATTATTGGGGGGGGGGTGCTCTTCCAGTCACTATGCCCTTGCATACATGTGGTTGAATTAAATGACCCACCTTGATACAAACACACAGTGAGAAGGGACATGTGCAGAGCACAATGACCATAGACAAAACGGTCAGTATCCAGCCACAGATACCAATTCCTCCTTCCGGCTCACCAGCTGAGGAATTGAAAAAATAAATGGCAAAAAATGGAGGTATTGACATTGAACAACAGTTGAATGGAAAAATGTACTGAAAGATTGATAGATCATGGTTTAACATGTTAAAACAAGGTAGGGATAGGTATTTGGGACACCCACATCAGGCAGGCTACTTGATATTGGCTTTGCTGACTTTTGGTCATAAACGTTCTTTTCGAATTTAAGATAATTGTGTGCAAAGTGATTTGGTTTTCTATAAAAGTTACTATTGAGGATGAGGAGAGTCTCAACTCAAATCAGTTTTTAAATTAAATATGTTTGTTATCTTTTTTGCAGCTTTCATGCCACTAGTAAGAGATTCTGAGGATGAAGCAAATGGGTTTGAGTTTTATTTGCAAAACCATCTTTAAATATGGAAATTGATATTCAAAAATGGTGAAGAAAATTGTTCAAAAGCAGTTTTAAAGGGAAGAACTTGCAATGTTCAGAAAAGATATAGTAAATGGAGACTTTACTTTAGATTATCTCATTTTAGTATTCATGTATTGGTTTTAGATTAAACTCACACAAAAGCCCTTTAAGATGGTAGAAGTGCCTACATCCCAAAGCCTACAATGTTATTGATGAAATGCCAGAAATCAGTTGACAGCTCAAAAGAGCTATTACCAAGGATATGCAGTAGTTATGCAGGAATTTTTGCTTACTTGGCACAATACAATCACTGTTTTGATGAGGAAGAGTTCCGTATGCGGACGCCACTTGACACCCCCCCTGAATAAACCCCATGAGACCAGTCTGAAAATTCTGAGTGTTTTCTAAGTAAACAACTCTGTATTTTCCCTCCTAACTTGAACTTTTCTGGACATGTTTTTGCTTTCTGATGGCTAAGTATACAGTGTAAGAAAAAATTACTGGCGTCTATATATGTAACTCTTTCTGAAAATTGAAGATGAAAACCATTTTTCAAGCTGAGAATGTACCTCCAGCTTTGGTATTCAAATGCAACTTTATTGGTGACCAGAGAGACATTTTTGCATACACGTACATTTTATAAATAACATAATTTTGAGGCATTCACAATTACTGGAAAAGCATCGAGGGGGCAGAATTCCATACAATATACACGTACCATATACAGACAACACTTGATCATTTCCATTTGATGCCTGTCATGTCTGTGTGCACAAACCTACAACATGTACGAGACTTGTCTGTTTTCTAACTAAATGTTTCAGAATTTCCTTGGATAAATTTTACTTTTTAGGACATGTAATCACTAGCTGACGGCTGTAATAACATTTTAAGGGAAAGTTAGTGTTGTCTGCATGAGGAAATCTTTCCTTGTTGAGGTTTTATTGTCCAATAAGCCTACAGTAGCCTACATCTTGAACAGAACAGGTGGAGGCAGAACACTGCAGCCGCCATCGCTGCCCTGAATACCTTACCTCCAATGACTTCAGCACGGTGATCCGGGGCTGACGAGTAACCTCCTCCATAGTCGCTTGTCTTCGAGGGTTTCCTGTTGTTTGAGTCCATTATTAATTCTACGTTTTCCGCAGGTTCTGGGGTGACTCGATTGGACATTAAGTGCTGAACCACAAGAGGGCTACTGATGTACTAGATGACAATGTGCCGTAAACACACAATCTACTTTTGCATATACATCGTATTACTATCGGGGATGTTAATTTATTAAGATTCCATCAGAGGCCTGCCGATCGGCCGGAAGACGCGAGGCGTATATTAAAAAAAAAATCGTGCAGCGCGCTCTAGATGAGTAGTATAGCGGACCTCTACCATAGCGCCGCCGCTGCAAGAATTTCTTTGTCATGGGGTACATGTAAATAACACTGTGCTTCATTTACTCAATTATATTCTTCATAAAAAGTAAATCTTTATTATTTTGCTATCTCTAGAACACCAGTTTAGAATTTGACGCATTGCTTGTGGAGCACGCCTTAAAAATATTGTAACATGATTTTGACATGTACACGACCCATGAACAAGGATTCGTAAACATCTTAGACAGTTACCCTAAGCATATGCACTTATTAACCGGTCTCAAACCAATTTTTTTCAGTCAGAGAATCAAAGGGCCTCAATGTATGATGAATTGCTGACGTTTTTGTTCGCAAATTTTACTTTCGTTATTGTATCCCGAACACCCCGTCCATCTCTGGTACAAGGAATATACCATAAAATGGACAGGGGTGTTTGGCAAAATGAAAGTAAAATTGTAAAACAAGATCGTTGGAAAGCGGCCCGTCACATATTGACTTCTTTTGACTCTCGGACTAAAAGCAATATTTATGAATGGGAAATGATGTGCTTGGCTGGTTTTGCTCAGGAGACTGAACGCAGATAACGCCTTCCCCTGCGGCTCGGAAATGAGTCGCGTCCTTAGCCGGTCTTTAACACATATTTAAGACTAGCCAAGAACATAGACTATTTATTCCCTTATTAATACCGCGGCAGGGCTTTTTGTGGTTGGGAACGAGACACGCTTTTGTCTGGGATACCAGATCGGATGATTGTTTGATTAGGCTACGAATACAATTGAGGTTCCGGTATCCATCACCCAATGTCCATGTGACCAAGACTGGAGGATTCCTCCGGTTTTCCGGAAATAGCATAAACTGATATTCTGAAGTCGTCCCGTCTAGTATGATATTCGGCATGTTCGGATGGTACTTTAGATATGCGGTTATTCCTGGCCGGGGTAGGTTAGCTGTTGAACGTAATCTCCCGTATACCCTAATGGCAGCTGTTGATCTTACAATATTTGACTGCGCTGAAATCGAAGGTCGCCTTGGCCGAAATCAATGCCAGGCGAAATGCAGAATATAACTTTCTTTGACCAATGTAGATTTTGTGCCTGAAACATGCTCTCAGTGGGGATACACTAGCTTGCAGTATTTCCCACTGAATACGAGAAAAGCCTCATTTTTGAGAAAACACCCGGGCTCTCAACTTGTCACCTGACCCTTGCGTCATATCTATTAATATCCGTGGGCGATGCCTGACCAGATTTTTTCACCAAGAGTCGTCAGGGAATCTTTGGGCTGAGAACCAGACTACACACGCCTTTCCACCTCAAGCTAGCTGCAGCTGCAGGGTGTAGTCCACTAATTCAAGCCCCATTGAAAACAGTGTAAAAACAGAATTGTTCGGGGTCAATTAACATGCATACCGACATCCCTGAGGTATCTGAAACACACGTTAAATTATTTCATAGTCCCTAATCTTTCACTTTCTTTTCAATTTTCTGTGGGTTAACCGATGACATTTTGAGTTACATGTATTCCCACAAACCAAAATTACCCCCCCGAAAAGTGATTTTTCCGAAGTCTGCTTGCAGCCATTTTTCAAGTGCAGCCATTTTTCAAGTGACAGCTCTCAACTTGCTCGGGCACTTAGGACCATTTTCAGCCGTATTTTTTTGCCATTCTGCTCTCAGATGAAAGCCCAAAGACCCAGGCAGTTAATTCTGGCAAAGATTTACAATCTTACAATTTTGGGCCATATAATCTCCTTTTTCAAAAGATACTGTTACTGTAGGGGAGGCACTTTTAATGCTAATGAGCTCGCCAGAAATTCTCACTTGAATTAGTGGACTGCACTGCGATGTTGTAAGTACCCGTGGACCTCACATAACCCACTGGAGGCCGTCGACTCATCCCTGTGCGCGATTTCTCTGTTCTGGTGTCCCGCGGTATACGGTTTACGTTCGCGATGGGCATTTATATTGTACAATTTCTTTTCTACTCTAAACTATAAATTTAAAGAGATGTTGTGCATTTCTGGGGTTTCCTTTAGCTGTCTCGGTCTTACATTGTTCCAAAAATGGTGGACTTTGTAACCTTTATGCCCAAAATACTGAAAGCGTGTTAAATATCCTTCGATTGCGTAGATACGCGGACCTGCAGATGCGCCTAAAATCACCAATGCTCGCAACCGATTGCAACACGGAGAGCTTGCCATAACGCCATGGAAACTTGTATTAATGGAAACAGTATTAATTAGGCCGTGTCCGAAACGTGCTTCCGGAGTTAAGACTAGACCTGTTCTTCTTTCCTGTCCATCATCTACTTAAATGTTCAGCCAGGTCCTTTGAGGGCGCTGCTTTTGTGGCGACTAGCAGTTTTGGTCCGCTCCGTAATTTGTCTACATTTTTTTCGCGTTTGTTTGTGCCAGCCTTATCGTTTTTAATCATTATTCGCATTTTTTCACTTGCTGAAGAACCCAGATGATTCGTTTTTGTTGTAGTAACTGTTTGTGCTGTAACCCTGTTGTCTGGATCTGTGTACGGGCATGGACAGGAGCAACATGGCTACCAATTTTTACACCTGTGAATACTGTAACGAAATCCCAGGAGGACCCCGCCAGTATAAAATCGTGGGTTCCAATTAACTAATCAACAATTGGAGAGTCACTCAAATTTAACCACTAAAGTATGGACAGGCTAACTTGCCTCAGTGCCGCAAGAGACTTTTAGCGGATTAATTATCTATTTAAAAGTTTAAATGTCTACAAAACTTACCAAAATGAGTAACATACAATTAAAATATCAGGCCAGTTGTTCCCTGTTTTAAACAGGGCGCTTCGAGACAACGAAACCCTAATGTTCCTGTACATGTTGGTCAATTCCAAATGTATAGATCAATGCAAGTGGGCTTTAGCAGTTCAACCCCCATCCCTAATGTGGGCGACGCCCTCCCTGAAACAGTCCTGTAAAAGAAAAGAAATACCGTGGCCACATGCACAAGAACATAACCTAGAGCAAAAAGGAGTAGCTAGAATGGGTTGACCCATGTCTTAAAGAAACAAGTCCCAAAACTTACATACAGAACGAAAAGACAAACAGAATATCCAACGTCTCTAGATGTTCCCAGGTCTGTCGCAGTCAGACAATTCTCTAAGAAAAGTTCTCACACCCTTGGTTTTATATGGCTAGCCAGATCGAGTAGTAAGAAATGGAGAGTTCTTGAGCACTTTTTCTTTGGGTACCTACCCGACCTAAATAATGCAAAAATCTCACAAACTCCCAAAACCCTCTGCCTCTGGACCAAAGGGCGCTCAACTCTTCAAGGGTGCTCAGGGTGCTAAGGTCACCCTGGCCTCCTCACCGATACCTAAGACCACCCGGCTGTCTTGCGTGCCCTACCTATAGGCCCCCTCTCGCCCACCGCCACTCCCCTTTGCCCTGCTCCCCCTTACACCGGCACGCCTTTTCTATTATTATTAAAATCGACTCGCAACACTCATTAAACATGGAAAGCAAAAAATGTAACACTTGCTTCAAAGAAAAACCATTGTCAGAGTGTAAGGAGTTATAATTTAATACTAATAGTTGTTTACGATGCATTGCACGTAATAAAAAATTAGAACGCCTGTGTACACGGGTTATTTAAATATCATTGCTGGGAATGTAGGCCACACACCAAAGAAATAGCGCGAAATGTCAAAGGTTATATACCTGTACCTCAAGATCTCTCTGACGAGCACAAAAACATGAGTCACAGTGTAAAATCTGCCGGTAAGCTAACTCTTTAAAAACAAACAAAAATTAACCCACCCTCATATTTGAGAATGGGTTAAAAATAATGGAATTTATTTTTAAATGTCATATGTAGACCATGGGCCAGAAATTGTAGCTTCACTGGAACTGGAGTTCCGTTCCCACTTTCGAGTGGCAACATGGAATCATGTGTTCTAGGTCAATAATGAAGGTGCTGAATTCAAATCTGCGCTGCCTGTTGCCACCTCGTCAGACTGCTCCCAAGGTCACCACAAAAGGGCGCTAATCCAGTTGCTGCTCATTGTTTTGTCAAAAATAGAATTTTGGGCATGGTTTTCCCATTTGTTCATTAAATGCTTTTAGATTTGGCACAGGTACTACTTATAACATTTCACAAAAGAAACATTACTATTTAATAAATTTTTCGCGGGGGGGGGAATCGGGCTTGCTTGTGGCAGCCTGACAGGCCACCATCTTGTTTTCATGTAGATGGCAAAGAAAAATCGAGGCCCCATATACATAAATTGTGAAAAACTTTTCTGTTCAACAATGGAGGAATGCTAGAATCTCTTAAATATGATTAACGACTTTTATTGCATCTTTAGAGGGCATTTTCAGGTTTTAATGCTTTAATGTTGACGCTATGTACACGTATGTGTGTTGACTGTTGACGCTTAATGGCACTAAACACGTAGCATAGCTACTTTGATAAGCCCGTTGAATACTAAACACCTCATTATATCATACCCGACTCTGAGCTTTTGGCAACTTCAGTCAATTGGTTCACATCATGTTCTGCTTTGGCTGCTTCAGGGTTGGCAATTTTTTATTAAAACCTAATTACAATCTTTTTTTTTAAATTTAAATCATTGTTTATTTCTATAATTAAATATGAAGATGAATTAGCATAATTGCATGTATCTGCTTTCAAAGCAAGTAAATTTGTTGCACGTTAATAGGCAATCTTGTATATATGGTTTGTGATCCAACTCCTTTGCGATAGAGTAATAACTAACGCTTGATTAAAATTTACGTGACTTACTGCATAGTAACCAACACTTCTTATGTCATTAAAATACATGTGTACTCGTTGAAATGAAATGAACAATACGGTAGATATACACTGATACTTATATACATATTAAACTCTAAAGTAGACGCTTTAAATAGCGGTAGTGAAATTAAATCAAATTTATAAATCCTTCAAT